CCCACAAAACATTTCCAGTAATTGTCAGGTCCTCCAAAAGTTTCTTCGAACTTGACAGGAAAAAACAAGGCAATTTCCTGGGCTTAGCAGTGCCATTGCCTCAAACAAATTAAGTGGTTCTCCTGCGCGTCCTTGGAGCCCGACTCTCATTATGAGGACCGCTTTATAAACCCTGGGCACACAAATGGAGAGAGAGAGAGAGAGCCCTCGCGACGAAAGACAAGAAGGGCCCTTTTCCAGTGACTCCATTGTTGCAGTGCCCTTCTCACAGCCCACACTCCCAATTACTGTATTTTCGTTTTCCCTGTAGTACCTGCTTACGTAAGTCTCGGCTGTGTCTTGTGTTGTGCAATTTATCGCCCCCAAGCTTCCTACCGTTTCTCATGATGTACATATGTACGTTGATCTTCTTTCGCACCGTATGCAGCCACCCGTGCTAATGGCGCCTCCGATTAGCACGGTTAAATATGACAGTCGTTGTTTGTATTGATGATTTGTTTTTTTTCATGGGGCCCTTTATATCTCACGGCGCTTAACATCATCGTATCTCATCTCACACATTGGGTATGGCACCCCCAGTGGCAGCGGTACCTTGAGGTACAAGGTGACTGTAAATGGGCATTCGTCTGGCCAGGAGGGGGGAGAAAATTGCTATGTGTTATCCCAATGAATGAATTCAGAACATTTGGAACCATAATTTAATCTAGCAATGTTTTATTACGCCACTCAAGTCGTCAACAGTCAAAGTGTTTCCGTGCTCAAAACAATGTGCAGTGGTAAATATCTCTGTTGGTAGCTGAGCCAGTCGTAACAAGAATAACCCGTAAAAACAAAGTTTGTCACTATAAATCCTTTATATGCGTGGCGGCTAGAGTCCTCTCGTCCTCTGGCTTGAGATGGTTGCCACCTATGGGTCAGATGATTGTCTGCCAGTATTAAGCAATTGGTAATTAAATATTTAATTTGTTTTCCCTAAACAGTGTAAAATTTTGGGAAAAAAATTTTCACGAACATTAATTGTCTCGCACAACGAGTCTGTGTGCAAAATGTCAGCTCGATTGGATCACAGGAAGTGGGTTAAAAAACGACCGAAAGATTTGCACGGTCGTAAGCAAGCAAGCAAGCACGCAAGCACGCAAGCAAGCAAGCGAACTTAATATAAAGGATTTAAAAAGAAATCCACATTCCTATGACAGGAGTAGATCTATCCATGGAAGACCGATTATGGACTTTTACACAATGTGGTTTTCATTTTACCCACTCCATAAAAGATGATGGGCTGACTCAATCCCCAACTGATATTTGAATGGATTAACGGTGGAAAAAAGAATACATTATCATAATTACTGTAGGTTGTTGGTAAATACACAGATAGAACTTTCAGTGTCTCTTGCTAAACATGCCTTGGGAAATGTAATGTCTGCTGAGCAAGGCTGCAAAGTAAACATCCCTTTTGATAGATGGCGCACTTTATCACACTGTGTGGACTGCACCAGAGACAGAATTTAAACAGAACCAATTTGTTACCCTTACAACAACTGAATCCCAACCCTACCCTGCAGCCTCAGTAACAGGGCAGTGGCTGCATACGCCACAAAGCACCAACACGGACGCTATTAATAAGATTACCATCATAATTCACCCGGGGTACTGATGCTGCAGTTATACGGATAATAAAAAAAACTCCACGCGTTTGCCCCCTTTGGTAAATCAAGCACTGGAAGACGGTCCCACCACATGAAAGACATGAAGCTCCTCACACACTGCTGTCCATGTGGTGGGGACAATACTGATCAAGAGCATGGTTTCACTGAACCCTGCATCTGCCCCCCACCCCTCCAACACACACATGCACAGGCTGCCAACTGTCCATCTGCATTGTGCCGTGACACAGATGTGCTCCCTCCTCCTCTCCCCAAGGTGTGGGGAAATGCACGCAGCCCTCACGCCCAGCGGCTAATGGCCTGGGGCTCCACAGCAGCTGCGCTTCTGCGTTCCATGCAGCCGCTGACAGGCAGGCTGAAGAGCATCATTAGACCAGGGCAGTTTCCAACGGACCTCACAGCTCTCCTCCTTAGCGTTTCAGGAACCAGACAATAATACGAAGAACAATTGACGAGGCACAGTATGGGCCAGGGTTTAATGTCAGCTGGAGCTGTCTGGGACTGAGCTGAAAGGGGTTGTTGGAGGGCAATGGACAAAAAAATTGTCAATGAGAAATGATGGGCTGGGTATGGAGAGACACACATCACCCCTGTGATTCATATGAAGAATTTAAACAAGCAAAACACTGACACTATATCCCTGCTCAACTGAGTGAAGGAGCCATGGCAGAAATCACATATTTTCTAATGATTGGTTGACTCTCCATAGGACAATCAATTTAAACTTTTCACAAAGTGGTACTCAATGTATTTACCCCAAAGCACTGGCTATGAGGTTGAATAAATAGACTCCCAACCATGAACTGAACTCGCGATCTTCCCCGCATCCTCCGATTAGCACGATTGGCAACGTACGGTGCGAAAGAAGTTCAACACACGTACAAATCAAGAACTCCCAGCCGGTGTGGTCTGACTGGGGAAAAAAACCTATTGAAGCGAAGCTGTCAACAACAATTATGCATGTGCGCAGATAGGGTCCTCCAATGTCAGCCCAGAGACACGTGGAAAAGCCCCGACTGTTTTAGCAACGGGCTCTCCCAAGTTCCAATCAGGGAGACCGCACCACAGACTTGTGCCGGCTTCCTCCACAATGCTGGATAATTAGTTTAGCGTGCAGTTTGAAAAGGTTAAGTTGGGAGAAACCCTCCCCTCTCTCTCCCCCTCCACTTCTGGCTGCCTCACCCCCATCGCCACATCTCAAAATCCGAATGGCCTCCACCCCAAAAATCAATTACTAGGCATCACTGAAAAAGAATGCCACGAGCATCGAATAACCTAACAGGCATTGCCTTGAAAATCTCATTCAAAAAGGTTTTTTTAATCCAAGGCTTTCCCAATGACAACGTTTTTTTCAACTGTGGTGCTGTGTGGATTTAGACAACTGCATCTTGTTGTCTTTGTTATTGTTTGGCTCAATAAGCATTAGACTGCTGAAACGTCCTCACGGAACACTAAAAATATTAACAACAACAACAAATGCCCCAACGTTAATATGTTCATGATGTGTCAAAACTAAGCGTGCTGCTTAGTCTATCATCATGTGACAATGCGAATCGCTATTTTTGGCAAACGCACCTTATATTTATTGACGTCCATACAAATAACAAACGATGAATTTCTGTTACATAAATGCACTGAATGTTTTAGTTGGAAGAGTAGGCCAATTACGCTCGAGCAGGGAAATCTAAAACTCTCTTGTCAGCAGTGGCATCAGACAATTGCAGCGCTGCGCCTTACCTTGTAAAATTAATGTGCCCTGGGGTTTTACCGAAAAATTCAACACTTAAGATCAACTCACCCTCTTTAGGAAAATGTCTACAGAATTAATCGCTATAACTTAATATAACAATGTGTCATTGCAACATAAGCTAGGGGACATCCCATACCTGTACACTGCGGTGCCCATGCTAAGTGCCACGTCAATGTCAGAACTCGCATTCTGTTTATAGTGTGCTTGTTATACAGGGTGGTCCACTTATAGATACCACATTGAAATTAAATTATGCTCAATTTAATTCACGGCATTGCTGAATGGCGTAGGAAAATCAGACTGGCTTTGTTAGACATAGCGTATCAGGAGAGCATTAGCACACGTACTAAGTAGATTGACATTGGTTGGAGACATGTCGAGGCTTGTCATTTAAAAAAAATATATAATCTTGCTGTTATTTGTTTTAGTGGGGTAACTACAAATGGATCGCCCTGCAAATGTGTTTTTTTCCCCCCTGTAGGATGCGGATGAGCATAACACATGCGACATCACTGCTGCCTCTCTTCCCAACGTACTATACGTGCCATATGGTAACCCCATTACCAGCCAATTGTCAGTCAAGCAACAGTCCATCGCCAAAGCCTGCAAGCAGTCTGCGCAAGTTGCTGAAACGAAGATGTCACGGGGTCAGATATAGCACCTAAAGCTCACGACACAATCTCACACCGGTCTATGGGTGTGGTCGTCCACACACCGCACATGAATGCGGCGGGGTTGGTGGTGGTGGGACTGCTGCCACTCCACGATGCAACCCCGTGACCTCCAGTTGGATTTTCCGGCCACGGCAACGAGCAGTGGTCAAAGTGACATCCGAACCCTTCACCAACGTGGTGGAGTATGGCCAAACAACCCCATGGAGTCCATCCAGCAGTGGATTATCACAAATAGTGAACTGTGGATATGATCCATGTGCAATACATGTGTGTGTGTATGTGAGATGGGGAGCGGTAGTATAGCGGTGCGCTACGAACCCGGCGACCCGAGTTCGATTCCCGCTCACGGCCAATACCAATGACAATCTGAACCGGTCCTCGGCCTCCATCTAGGGCGACTCGGCCTCAAACGAGTACCTGGTGTGGGATGAGTAAAAACATCGCCACTGGGGAGACAAAGGCGGCCGGGCGTGGTGCTGGCCACCCACCCCCTCGTGTGCCGTACCGGAATTGATAGGCGCTCGCTAACAGCACTGGCCCCTACAGTCTGTTACAGGCTATACGGGGTTGTATGTATGTGTGTGTATAGTGTATTTTACTTGGGTAGGAACTACAATGGGAAGGATTCATTGGAAGATCCAAAGGTGCGCAGGAGGAATTACAATTCTAGGTCGAAACGTGACGTGTCGAGTCCAACCGAAATCGTGAACGCAAAGAGATCTCCATCGGTCAGAGGTCACGCGTCAAACTCACATTTGTTGGTTGTTTCATGGTTCTGCATGGGATTACGTATTTTTTTTGTTCTTCAAAACACGAGGGTTATAATTGTACGTGAATACAATCAATGTACGAGGGTTTAAAACGCTGCACGCCACGGCCTCTGTTATCTCTCTCTCGCGCCCCTCCACTCACCTTTAAGCTGCGCTTCATATTCTGCCACGATCTCCTTATCCTTCTTGAATTTGGCCGCCGCGCTCATGGTTAACGTGGAAGAACAACGACCGTGGTGGTGGTGGTGGTGGCGGCGACCATGTGCCAGCGAAGGTAGCCAAATGGACACCCCCTCCCCTCCCGTTCTCCAGCCAACTCCCAAATCTTCAAGGCACCAGGACCCGAGTTGAGTGTCAACCTTCTTGCGTGTGCCCTCTGGCGCGTAACACCACCGACTGCTGTCACCGACAAGCCAACTTGGCCAAGTAAAGGGTTCTTCTGTACAAGTTGTCCAAACAGGTCCGGCAAGGCTGTCCTCAATATTCGGTGTCCTCCAGCAGTCTTCTTCCAAATGTCTTGTAGAAGGTTCCCACCAAGTCCCTGGGTCAGATGTAATCCCCTCTGCTCACTCCACCTTCAGATTTCCTAAAGCAGACTGCTTGGATTCAAATGAGGCCAAGATCTCTCAATGCCCCCTTCTCGTCACGCCTCCTTAAAGTTGTGCAGAGATGGAGATTCAACTCATGAGATGAGACCACGGATATTCGTTCTTTCTTTAAGGAAACTCCACGCAAATCGATAGTCCCCGATGTCACTTTCAGAATGAGACTGGGCAAGAAATTGCAACTTGTCACAGCTTCCCACGGTCTTCTCTTGCCACCTCCAGAGACAAAAACCAAACTCAGCTCTCAGAGATGAAAGTTGAGCTTTAAATGTCCACTCTCGCTCTTCACACGCCTGGAAGGATCCCCCAAACCCCTTTGCTCGTATCGATGACCGACAATTCTACAGCCATCAAATCAAAGCGCTCATCAAATTGACCGTCGGGTCTCGCAATGAACGTGGGGCTTTTTTTTTGCTCAATAACTCATCTTGCAAAAAAAGCGACGAATGCCTCCTTTGGTAAACACCAGATGAGCAAAGCTGCGAGAAGCCAGCCCCAACATCACTTGCAAGATCACTCCAAGCCTCCAGCCATTCTTCAGAGGAGCACATCCAATAACCCCGCTCCTTCGGGGACAGCAGAAGAAGCTGTTGATTCTTCTCCTCGCTGTCAACGCTTCTTTCTTCGATCTGCGTTCTTTAAATCTGCGACGTCCCTTCTGTATACTTCATTCCGCTACGTACAAACGCAGCGGCTCCGCAAACGCTCGGCATCCAAATGCGCAACGAGGCTATTGTAATGAGCGCATACGATAAACTGCCTTGTCTTTTTAACACGGGACACAAACACCATATGCGTCTATGCTGCGAGCCTCTCCCCGCTCCGCGTTCCCTCCATGTGTCTGTTCTACGCCCGCTGATGCCGTCCTAGTGACTACTCGTGTTAGACGTAAACAGACGCGGCTGCTGCTGCTGCTGCTTGCTACGAGAACGGCGACACATGGGAGCTTAGCACGCTGTTGTCCACACCGCTGCGTTGCTCCGTGTGTGTGTGTTCTGTTGGTGCCGTGGTGTTGGAGGGGAGAGAGAGAGAGAAGGGAAAAGGGGTGTGGGGTGGGGATAGAGACGGGGATGGGGCTGGTGGGAGTGACGATGTTGATTTGTGGGCGAAGTCCCCTTTCCACTGAGCTCAACAGCTCCCCCTGTCTCACTGAAGTGGGACTAGCATCGCATTCCATCCTCCCGGCAAGGCTTCGGTGCCACTTTAATAGCTAGTTATCCAGGAGACGCCCGTAAATGACATTGCAGAACTGTGTCTTTGAATATTTAGCCAGAGGAGTACGTTTGTAAAGTGACCCGTGTTTTTGTTTGTCTTTACAAAACAGCAACCAGCCGGTTGTTGATGTTGTGGTTCACATTTGGGAGGTTCCGAGTTCAAATCCTGGCAATGGGACTGATTTCATCATCTCTCAAGGGGTCGATAAGATTAATGTAGGAATGAGGAATTTCCACAACTGCCTCCTGGCACAGATGAATGCCACTCTACTGTCCAATTAAGCAAACACATTTTAAACTTGAAAAAACAATGTGTTGATAATAGCGGACAATTATTGGTGAAAGAGGTGGCATTCAAACTCCAGTCTCGTTTACCTCTCCACGGTCTATATTTCCATGTTTACCAATAAACATATGTAAAGTGCATTTAGATATATTGAGTTTAAACGTGAACTGAGAATATTTTCTGAACTTCAGATGAGCGTTTGGGCTGTATAAATGACAGTATACTGATCCGAATACGTATGGATAAGAAATTAAAGCCTGGAGCGTTTTGCAAGTGTGCCCCATTAATCCAATAGAAATTGTCTTTCAAGTGAACAATAGGGGATGCGTTTTTTGCGTGTGAACAACAAGACAGAGCTCTGCGAGATAGTGCCGGGCGGTAACTATTGATGTGAACACGCACAGATGTGTTTCAATGTGGCGCAGATGTTTCCTTTGTCCATCTCTGAGGACAAAATGTGGGCCGGTTGTAAATAGATCCAGGCATGCGACGAATTGTAGGCTCCAGCACCCCGTGATTCAGTGTGTCTGCTCGCCGTTAAATGTTTTAAATGCATAATAACAATCGTCACCACGCCTCCTTATTCGGACACCTATCACTTTCGATTGCCCATTGCTCCTCGAGCAGACGCGTTCTGTCCCGCACCGGACATGTACAGCCCGCTTGCCGGTCCGCTGCTGGATGAGGACCTGGTCACACCGTGCGCGCAAGTGAGGGTTGTTAGAACATACTTCACCACGCTGGTCAAGTGGGGGTTGTTGAAGATAGGGTGGGGGGTGTAGAAGAGCAATGGATATAATTACACTGTCATCTACTGCCCACAACGCCCATGGCACCTGTTGTATGCGTACGGTGAGCACCCAAACATTCACGACTCAGGCTCAACACTGCAATATTTTCTGAGGTCTGATGGGACCCAGCACATTCCACAGGAACTGGTCATAAGCGCAAAGCTATCTTACCATCACATATGATGTTATTTCATCACTGATCATACACCTTCAATGAATCGGCAAAGGGCTCTAAATGATTACGACAGTTAAATTGCAACAGCATGTTCTAGGAAAGACAGCTCGTTTTTTTTTCTGAATCAAAAGTCAGCTGAAATTAGCATTGTGACATTTTCATCTCCATTGGTATCCCTGAACTGCTAGGGGAATTTACACATTTCTATGACGGAGACCAGTATTTCTCTTGGATGGCCAATGATGAATTGAGTGCTACCCACCCAATAAATTATCCTTATGCGTTTTTATATCGAGTACAGAACCACATTAACCATTGAGAAGTAGTGTATATCTATTTACATATACATCATACATATGCCGGAGGGCTGTCATTGTGAGTTAATCTAAAATATATGCTTTTCATGGTGAAATGCAGTAATCAAATGATTAATTATGTTACCAATCATGGATACACTGGGCAAAGAGCATGAAGCACATCTGTTCATCTTTAAAGTCTGCCTACATACAGGGAGTAGTGACAATGTGTCTGCCCCCTCACTCCTGACTTTGTAAATTGGCCCTACGTGACTCAACCACCTAATCACATGGTCCTCTACTGTCCATTACTTTTTCGCATTTGCGGTTGATTTATTCGTTCACGGTGGTCAGAACGTATTTGTTATGTTACACGAATATGGCCCCACACTCTTGAGTTACCTGCTTTGGGGATTGGGGATTCTAAATAAATCAATGATCACTTGATATTTTGTGGTTAGGGAGCTTGGGGATTAGCCCATTTGAAAAAAATTGTGATTCAAATCCCACTTAAATAGTGGTATATTAAAAATGTCGATCTTATAACATTTTAAGAGTCTCAAGCACAACTCAAAATAATATTTTATTATTTGGCAGCAATCTGAATTGATATGAATTGAATCCAAATACAGTATATCTATTTGCTTTCTTGTTAATGAATTTATCCACCTTTCGTCCTTAAAAATACAGTATGTGCCGAGAGATGCAACCTATGTTTGTTCTTTTTCTTGTGCAGTAACAATCAATGATACAAGTGACACATTTAATATACTCTTTGGTTTTTTTCGGTAAAGTCACGTAAGTAGAAATATATATATATATATATCACGACGTTTCGATCACAACACAAGCGGTCGTCCTCAGGCGGAAAAAAATAATCCAGCAGTGGAACTGCTGAACCAGCGAGAGAGCTGTTATAACAAGAGGCTATATATGTGGCGAAGGGCAAGCAGGCGGGGTCTGAGCTGGAAAGGAATTCCATCCCCGGACGCAAGCACGTCAGTTGTGTTAATGGGGGAGATTAGGGAGAGAGAGATTAGGGAGAGAGATTAGCATGAAATAAGCCTCCGTCGCCGCATGAGAGTATTGTTCCTGCATATGCGCACAACAGCAGTGTTAATGGGAGATTAGCACTATGTTGATGGGAGAGATTAGGTAGAGAAATTAGGGGGAATTAGGCAAGTTAATGTTATGTCTATGTGTAACACAAGCTGCGGCGCTGCCAACTGCGCTGTGAGAGGCAAGCGCGTCCACTGCAAGAGAACCACCGCAACGGTGATCGCGCCAGTGAGACACACAGCCCATCACACAGCCAGAACCATCGATTCATCGAGGCTAAGGGAGCAGAGGTGGCCATGTTAGTGAGACCCCAGCCCGTTAATGCAGAGGCACCTAACAGGGCAATGCAACTCAGAGAGTCGGAGATAACAGCAAAACGGCAGGGAGGAATGGAAGCACCACAGCAAGTTACGACTTTGCTTGATTAATAACGTTCTTCCAATGATTGCTCAGCTTAGAGCCTTAGACCCATCTTCTCGGCTGAAATTGTCTCTGTGTTTATATATCTGGATGGATTCCAGGACAAATCTTTTATGGTAGCCCGAAGGTTTGCAGAGTACCTTGGTCTCGGAAAAAACAATATCGTGCGAGCCCACTGCGTTATAACAATGATCAGCCACGGCAGAGGTATTGGTTCTGCCAGTGTTTCAAATCTACCTTGTGTTCGCGAACACGGTCCGAGAGATGTCGTTTCGTTTCCCCAATGTAACTGCTGCCGCAGACACAACTTAGTTTGTAGATATCAGGGTATTGCATATCAGGAATGACATCCTTCACAGATGGGATCAAATTACGGATTGTATGTACTGTGTTGAATCGACATGTACTTTAAGAATTTTTTATTAACTTTAAAGAAAGAGCCTCAGTAGACTATAAAATTGGCGCATCACTAAGATGGCAGACTGGATAAGTGTCACGGTTTAATTCCAAATCCTACCTGTGTCTTGCAAGTCTGTGGGTGTGATGCAATCACTTCTGCGGAAATGAAAGTTTGAACACCTATTACTGTACATCAACAGCAAGTGTAGGCCATTCGTGTCACAGGCCCAACTAAACATACTGAATTGCACAGTAATTATGGCGCAGTAATTATCACACGACGCTATGAACCTGGCAACTCAAGTGTTGTTTTACTGGCTATGGCTAACATCAGTGGTGAGTGATATCTGAACTAGAACTGAGCCCGCTCCCTTTCCAAACTGCATTGACCATCGTGGTAAAATATGGTCAAACGACTCCATGAATGAAACTGTATGCAACAGTAGAATCACAAACGACTGCAAGGTATTATTGTCTTCTTCAATTACAAGAAAAGCTGCAGAATGTCTCTTATTTGTTAGGTGGATTCAAAGGGCCCTGCCCTTGTCTAGAATGAATCCCTTTTGGCACAAATACCAGAAAGCTATTATTTGCATGTGTATTACAAGTTAACAAATTATATTAACTCGCAAGCGTATTTGATAAGCGCACGTGCAGCCATATGAGCGAGATGACCTATCCTCCATCTGCAAACTCCATATGGCACATCCCAAAGCGCAAGGAATGCACCAAATCACCATCGTCGTTTTAAATTTGCGGCGAGCCTTTCACACAACCCCGCGTCGAGAGAGCATTGGCCAAGGCTTCAAGGGGCACGCAAGCTGTTGGTGGTGGTGGGTAGGGGAGGGGTGGTGTTTTTCGGCGTTTAATTCGGTGATTGAATCAATGGACAGCTCAAGCTAACGGCCGACAGGGGGAAGGCAGGGTCTCTAACTGGATGCTGTCACCGATTACGAATTGTTCCGTTCGTTTAGAAACCCCAAAAATAATCAAGGACACGAGCTCGTGCTCGGCTACAGGCTGTGTCTGCGGGACCCTGGAGGCCCTTGTTAAGTAATGAAAGAGTGCAGACTTCAAAAACACATAGGGATCATCTATAGTAAAATGGATCAGAATACTATATGTCCGTGACATTTTTATTTTATTTTTTCAGAGAATATATTTTTTAATACAGGTAATTTTCCCCATAAACGTGCTGCATCATAACAACTGTGAAAATTGTCAAAGTCATAGGTACCTAAGTCTGACTGAGTATTATACAAATGCTTGTTTCTATTGACTGTCCTAAAACAGTGGTGGAAATGTTCCACTTTTATGGCAGGGGTCAAGTCTGTTGATAGGAAAGCTGTTGTTGACATT